GGTCATAAAAGTGCACACAGGGTCAAGGTCACAAATCTTGATGGTGGCCTTCAAATAAATTGTCTGTACTTGGTGTCATTGTTTATTTCCTTTTTATATCTTTTATGAAGACTGAATTTAAAAAGTGTTGATAGGTAAAGAATTAAAGAGGGGCTGGGGATGTGGCTCAAGCGGTAGCGTGCTTGCCTGGCATGTGTGCGGCCCGGGTTCGATCCTCAGCACCACATACAAACAAAGATGTTGTGTCCGCCGAGAACTAAAAAAATAAATATTAAAAATTCTCTCTCTCTCTCTCTCTCTCTCTCTCCCCCCTCTCTCACTCTCTCTTTTAAAAAAAAAAAAGAATTAAAGAGATGATGGAAATAGTAAAGGGATAGTTTTAAACTAGACAACTGAATGATTATTTTTTATATAAACACCATAATCTAATTTCTTTGTCTTTGTAGCTTCAGGCCCCTGGCAAAGGCCTAACTAGCAATAAAAGCAAGGATGACCTGGTGGTAGCTGAAGTAGAAATCAATGATGTGCCCCTCACGTGTAGGAACTTGCTGACTCGAGGACAGACACAAGACGAGGTGGGAAAGAACTGGGACTCTTGGGAAAAGTGGCATGTGAATAAAGAAAAAAACATGTCTGAGCTCAAGTAGAAGTCAAATATCTATGAGGGGGATTTGGGTCCATGTTTTCAAAATCAGATCGAGTTTAATTTAACTGCAGAAGCAGTAATGAAACAGATGGGGTGAATCCCGTTTGTTTAAGAAACCATAGAAGAAGAATTTAAGGTATAGAAGTTTTTTCTGCCTTGATTGATAGAATGAATGAATTGTGATGGAAATTTATCTTGCTTCATTGAAATCCATTAAGTACCACATCTTTTTATTAACATAGTTATATATTCATAATTATGTATACATTCATATGTATCGTGACTTTTTGACATGTGTATATAATCTTTTTAATAGAATGTTTTCTTCTTTTAGATCAGCCGACTTAGTGGAGCTGCTGTGTCAACTCGAGGGAGGTTCATGACAACTGAGGAGAAAGCTAAAGTGGGACCAGGGTGTGTGTGTATGCTTGTCCTCTGGTTTGGGGAAGGATTGGGCATTTGACTCTCATTTCATATTTTTCATTTCTAGGTAATATATGTAAAGGATGTTTGGTTTGGAGTGGGGGTGCATGATTTGCAGCATAATGTTGGGCTTCTTAAATAGGTGTGAGAAATATTGGCAGCTAGCTGGGCATGGTGGTGCACGACTGTAATATCAGTTAATTGGGAAACTGCGGCAGGAGAATCATAAATTAACGTTAGCTTGGGCAATTTACACAAGACCCCGTCTCAAAATAAAAAGTAAAAGGACTAAAAAAAAAAAAAAAAAAAAAAAAAGAAAGAAAAAAAAAGTAAAAGGACTGGGGATGTAGTAAAGTGCCCCTATGTTTAATCCTGGGTACTGAAAGTTTAATTTAAAAAAGATGTTGACAGGTATTTTTCTGTCACTTTTCCTATTTTATTTCACTTTTTTTAATTGTAAGAAACAAATTATAAGAAATCATACAAGAAGGTAATAATGGTCAACATTTTTTTTATTATTATTTTTATGTGGTGCTGAGGATCGAACCCAAGGTCTAGCACATGCCACTGAGGCACAACCCCTCTCCAAATGGTTAACATTTAACATGTATGCTTCTGAACTTTTTTCCTGTGGAATTTGTCCCCCCATAAATGGGTTAGGATTGAACCTGGGCTTCATGTATGCTAAGCACAGGCTTTACCATGACCTTATCTCTGATCCCTCCCTTTAAATAAGGAAAAGTTCAGTCAGGCTTGATGGTGCATGCCTATAATCCCAGTGGCTTGAGAGGCTGAGACAAAAGGATCACAGGTTCAAAGCCAGCCTCAGTAACTTAGTGAGAATGTGTCTTAAAATAAAAATACAAAGGACTGGAGATCTAGCTCAGTGGTAAAGTGCCTTTGGGTTCAATCCCCAGTACCTAAAATAAAATTTCAGCCTGGCGCAGTGGCACATGTCTTAATCCCAGTGATTTGGGATTGATCCAAGTTCAAAGCCAGCCTCAGCAATCTTGCCAGGCCCTAAGTAATTTAGCAAGACCCTGTCTCAAATTTTTAAAGAATTGAAAGGGCTGGCTCAATGGTTAAGTGTCCCTGAGTTTAATCAGCACCCCCCCCACACACACACTAAATGATGATCATTAGCTGTAGATTATCCAATTAATCTCAATTTAGATTTTTCTTTCTTTTTTTTTTTTTTTTTTTTAAGAGGGGGAGAGAGAATTTAAATATTTTAGTTCTCGGCGGGCACACATCTTTGTTTATATATGGTGCTGAGGATCGAACCGGGGCTGCACGCATGCCAGGCGAGAGCGCTACCGCTCTCTACCCAGCCCTTTTCTTTCTTTTTTTAAAATTTTTTTATTAGTTGTTCAAACTATTACAAAGCTCTTGACATATCATTTCATACATTTGATTCAAGTGGGTTATGAACTCCCATTTTTACCCCGTATACAGATTGTAGAATCACATGGGTTACACATCCATGTTTTTACATAACTGCCATACTAGTATCTGTTGTATTCTACTGGGATAGGAACGGCAGCAGAATAGATTTTTTTCTTTCATTATTAATATTTTAGCTTTACTTTCAGTTGACAAGTATTCAAGAAATGAGACTCCCACTCCCACCAGTGATACTGGATTGAACCCAGGGTATTCTAACACCAAGCTGCATGCTACATTTTCAGACCTTTTTATTTTTTATTGAGACAAGGTCTTGCTAAGTTGCTGAGGCTGGCTTCCAACTTAGAATCCTCCTGCCTCAATCTCTTGAGTTGTTAAGGTAACAACTATGCACCACCATGCACTGTTTTGGGGGATTTGGGTGTTTGGTTATTGTTTTTTGTGGTTCTGGTGATTGAATCCAGGGCTTGTAAGGCAAGCATTCTACCAATTGAGCTATATCCCCAGCCCTGTGGGTTTTGTGTGTGTGTGTGTGTGTGTGCGCGCGCGCGCGCGCAATTGAACCTATGGCCTTGGTTATTTTTTATTGTGGTACTGGCAGTTGCACCCAGAGGCCCTTGAACATTGAGTTACAACTTATGTACTTATTGTGATCCTCCTGCCTCAGTTTTCCTAGTCCCTGAGATTACAAATAAAATTTTACCCTTTTTAAAATTTTTCCTATCTCTTCTTGCTGTCCTGGGGGGGTGGTTGAAGCTAGGGTCTGGTGAGTAATAAGCATGTGCTCTACCACTAAACTACATCCCCATCCCTTCTATATATATATATATATATAAATTTTTTTTTAGATGTTTTGTTAATTTATTTATATATGATGCTCTGAATTGAATCCAGTGCCTCATAATATGCTAGGCAAGCTACCACTGACACATCCCCAGCTCCTTAATTTTTTTTGGGACAGAGTCTTGGCTAAATTTTCTAGGCTTCTCTCAAATTTATCATCCCTCTTCCCTCAGCCTGCAGAGCAGCTGGGATTACAGGTCTGCGTCACCACGCCCAGCTGTTGTTTTGTTTTAAAACATATTTTCTTCTGCTGGGAATTAACCCTTCGGCCTGAAGCATGCTAAGCTTGTGCTCTCCACTCTGCTACATCACTAACAGGAAATTCAGTGTTTTTAATATTGGCTTTTAACTTTGAATGTGTTAGCTGCTGTTTTGGACTTGGTTATTAATTTTTTTTTTAAAACCTGCCATTTCTTAGCCATATGTAATTGTTGACTGCTTTCTTCATTATATAAATCTAAATTTTTAGACTTTTAGAATCTAAAGTGTCTTCTTAGTCAATGCAGGACCTTTTAAAAGTTTATGTGTTATCATCACTCTTTCCCCATTATTTTGGATACTCAAGCCCATATTTGCATGAATCCATATGAGCAGATTTGACCTCTCTGTGGGCCATTTAACAAGAAAAATTTATAGCCTCAGCTATAAAGCCATGTTCTTAGAAACTACCAGCAAAAGCTCCTGTTTCTTGTTTGTAAAGTTCAAACATTACAAATTAGATTTGGCCATGCCAGGCATGTTGGTGTACACCTGTAATCTTACAATTTGGGAGGCTGAGGCAGGAGAATTACAAGATCAAAGGGCTGGGGATAAAGCTTAGTGGTAAAGCCCCTCTGGGTTCAGTCCCTAATCCCCCCAGTCCTTTTTCCCTCAAAATTTTGGTGAACCATTTGGCTCCTTTGCTTTTGACCAGTTTGGGATCAGCCTTTTGCATTTCTCTTTGTAGGGATCGTCCATTATATCTTCATGTTCAGGGCCAGACACGGGAATTAGTGGACAGTAAGTAGTGTTTTTGGCTCACATTATTTCTGGGGAAGCACAAAGTTTGGGGCTGTGTATCTCAAACCTGCAAACTGTTCCTGATGGCTCTTCTAAAGTCTTTACCAGCTACACACCAGCATGTATGGGGAGCCACATATTTTGGCTAACCTAAAAAGTGGATTAGTGCTTTGAATAATTGAACATTTCTTCTGTCTTTGTCATTGGGCACCAGTCAGTTCATTCAGTTCTTTAGTATACTTACTATCTGTCTTTATTTTCCCCTAGGAGCTGTAAACCGAATCAAGGAAATTATCACCAATGGGGTGGTGAAGGCTGCCACAGGGACAAGTCCAACTTTTAATGGTGCAACAGTCACTGTCTATCACCAACCAGCACCCATTACTCAGCTGTCTCCAGCTGTTAGCCAGAAGCCTCCCTTCCAATCAGGGGTATGTTTTGGCGAGGGATTGTTGTTTCTATAAAAATGATATGTGCTATACAACATAATACGCGTGAAGGAAAACCCCTAAAATTCTGACCTGAGAGTTAATCTGCTACTGGTATCCTATTAGTGTGCTACTAATACATTCTCACTATATTTTTATTCTGATATAATGTAGGAAGGGGATTGAGAAGAGCAAAGGGTATAAACATAGTACAACGTGAAAATAGTTTTAATTTTGTATTTGTAAACTTCATGGCAACTGGAGGACCAAGAAGGCTGAGTCTGATGAAGCAAGACTTTGCTGATACACTCCTCCTAGAAAAAAGGGTTGGAGAGAGCAGCCCTCATTGGAGAAAATTTTGGGGCTGACTGTACGACCCAACATTCTACTCCAGTTTTACAGCCCACTCTGTGCTGTGATTTTTGATTGACTTGAATCAGTGGAAGGGAAGTGAATGTTTATTTGAATTTGGATCCTGGATTTTTGCTTTGCAAATATCTCTAGTTGAATAGAATAAGGTGTTTATTTTGTGGGTAAGGTAGATGCATGAATATGAAGGGGTTTTCTGATTTTGTTGTATGTTTTTTTGTGGTGCTGGGGATCGAACCCAGGGCCCAGAGATGCTAGGCATGTTATACTCGCAGCATCTGGAGTTTTTATTTAAATTAAGCTTTTTGATAGGATTTGTATTAGAAATTGTAGAGTATTCTTGTAGAAGTGATCAAATGTGTTTTGGGGATTAAAATATTTTGTGTAACAGTTTTCTACAGTATTAGGATTTTTGTATGTATTTGTGTGGGGAAGTAGTGGGGTTTGAACCCAAGGCCTCACATGCTAGGCAAACACTCTTAACACTGAGCTATATCCCCACCCCTAGGATTAGGATTTAATTATGTATTTTCTGTTTAATCTGATGTATTTTGTTCTTCCTACAGATGCATTATGTTCAAGATAAATTATTTGTGGGTCTAGAACATGCTGTGCCCACTTTTAATGTGAAGGAGAAAGTAGAAGGTCCAGGCTGCTCCTATTTGCAGCACATTCAGATTGAAACAGGTGCCAAAGTCTTCCTACGGGGCAAAGGTTCAGGCTGCATTGAGCCAGCATCAGGCCGAGAAGCTTTTGAACCTATGTATATTTACATCAGGTACGAATGGATCGGGCAAAATTCTTGTCATTTTGACTGTAACAGGCTACAATGAATCAGAACAAACAAGCAAAAAGGCTTAATAATATTAGGGATTTAGGTAAACACTAGGAGTAATCACTTAATATTTAGTTAATAAAAATAACTGAATTAAGTCTGTGTCTCTTTAATATTCAGGTCCTTAGGTCTTATATAAGTCTGTGATCATAAATGAGCTATGATAAGCTTAAAATAAATTCCAGTTAAAGCTAATATTTTATGACCTTAAGTATTTCTTATGCCAAGAAGTATCATTGCCCAGAGAAAGACAAAATAGCATGAAAAATGAGACAGAGTTATATGTTGTATTTTCTCCTTTGAATTCCTGCTTCATATTTCTTTGCAGTCATCCCAAACCAGAAGGTCTGGCTGCTGCCAAGAAGCTCTGTGAGAATCTCTTGCAAACAGTGAGTTACTGATATATAAATATGTATTATATATATTTATTTCTCTATATACGTATTCATTCTTCTTGGTGCTGGGGATTGAAAATGGGTGCCCACACAAGGCCCCTATCGTGCTTAGGTAAGTGTTCCTTAATATACATTTACCACTTATCCTCAGCCCTAACAGTCAGTTATATTTGTCTAATAATGATTCACAAGACCCGCTGCCATTTTGGAATGGATTGGACTTTTTTTCCCACCTGTATTAGTTTCCTGGGACTGCGTTACCAAAGTATTATGCATAGCCTTGACTAAAAGAACAGAAATTTATTCTGTGAGGGTTTAGCAACCCAGGAGTCTGAAACCCAGGTGCTGGTAGGATTGATTCCTTCTAGAGTTGTTTTTTGGTGGTTGCACTGGCATTCTTTGGCTATGTTAGCATAACAAAGAGCTCTGACACTATGCCTATTGTCCCAGCTGCTCAGGAGCAGTAGTGAAGATTGGTTTAGAGTCTGGGCAACCCCTGTGAGCTGGAAAAAAATAATGAAACAGAACCAAGTAGCAGTGTTTTGGGGATAGTTGCTCGATATTCATTCCACTTGCTTTATCTTTTTCAAATAAATTAGTTAATTAATTGTCATGGAGGGACACAGTATCTTTGTTTATTTTTATGTGGGGCTGAGGATCAAACCCAGTGCCTCACATGTGCAAGGCAAACGCTCTACCTCTGAGCCACAACCCCAGCCCATCCACTTGTTTTATTCTATAAACAAATAACTGAAAGGTAAATCATAGTATTTCTGTAGCACTTAATGGAAAATTGGGTTTCCTGTTGAATATATTGAACCTTGTGTTCTTTGGTATTGAAGGGTACCTTGTTGGGGAACTGTTGTTTGTTTTTGTGCATATAACCTGATTTACCAACACTTGAACTTCCTTGTTCTTTGTTAATACATGAAATTACAGTTCATAGGATGCTTGTAGTAAAGAAGAGATTGAAGGGACTGGGGATGTGGCTCAAGCAGTAGCGCGCTCGCCTGGCATGCTTGCGGCCCCGGTTCAGTCCTCAGCACCACATACCAATAACACAGACATGTTGTGTCTGCTGAGAACTAAAAAATAAATCTTAAAAATTCTCTCCCCCTCTCTCTTCTCTCACTCTCTCTTAAAAAAAAAAGAAGAGATTGAAGAAAATTGGGAGCTTGAGGACACGTCAGCCAGTAGATATGATTAATTCTGACTAGTACTAGCAGTTTAGAAATTTCCTCGTTGTTGGGCTGGGGATGTGGCTCAAGCAGTAGCACGCTCGCCTAGCATGTGTGTGCAGCTGGGTTCGATCCTCAGCACCACATACAAACAAAGATGTTGTGTCTGCCGAAAAAAAGAAAACTAAAAAAAAAAAGAATAAATATTAAAAATTCTCTCTCTTAAAAAAAAAGAAATTTCCTCGTTGTTATGATTTTTTGGCTTTCTGGATGATTTTAATGCCACAGAATTAAATCTAGTTTGGGGGGATTTTGGATTATACATGCTTCTAATTCCAATGAGGTGGCTTAGTAGTTTGTAGATCTGCCTTATTCAAATTATTGATTTGTTTTTCCTTCTCTAGGTTCATGCTGAGTACTCTAGATTTGTGAATCAAATTAATACTGCTGTACCTTTACCAGGTGTGTATATCTTGAAGTGTTTAAGAACTATTTTGTTAATGATATTTTTGTGTGTGATACTTGAAGCTAGAGTAACTGTGCCAGGGCACTAATAATGTTCCTTCAACTTAGGGTAATTTGGAAAGCCAATCATGCCTCAGTATTTTTTTTTCCCTAGATGTTAAGTTTATATTCAGCTAAAATGTCTCATTCTGCTGCAGCTGATTAAACACTTTTTTTCTTCCCCCCTCAGGCTATACACAATCCTCTGCTATAAGTAGTGTCCCTCCTCAACCACCATATTATCCATCCAATGGCTATCAGTCTGGTTACCCTGTTGTTCCCCCTCCTCAGCAGCCAGTTCAACCTCCTTATGGAGTACCAAGCATAGTGCCACCAGCTGTTTCATTGGCACCTGGAGTCTTGCCAGCATTACCCACTGGAGTCCCACCTGTGCCAACACAATACCCGATAACACAAGTGCAACCTCCAGCTAGCACTGGACAGGTAGGATGCCAGGGAATGCATTATGCTGTCATTTGATTTAGGAGGGGGAAAAAAAAACTGGGGAAATGGTTGTCTTCTAGAAATAACTCCATGTAATGTGAGATTTTTTTTCCTTTTGTCTTATGTGTTTCTACTATTAACCTACCTGAATACTTTATCACAGTGTGTACATTTTTGTTTCTCATCCTAGAGTTAATTTAATTTCATAAGTCTTGTCACCAAATAGTAGCTTAAAGTGGGAATGGCCGGCCAAATTTTTGTAAAGAGCCTTATGTAAATATTTTAGGCTTTTTGGGTCAGGTAGTCTCTGTCACAGCTGCTCTTTATTCTGTTATTACAGCACCAAAGCAGCTATGGACACTGTCTGAATGAACAGTGGGTATACTTATATTAAAGCTTAATTTACAAAAATGATTGACAAGCCAGAATCATAGTTTGCCTACCCATAACTTTGTGGTAGAACTGAGTTCTTGGAGAAGGAAGCTGGCTACAGCCCTCCTTTGAAGGGTCAGAACTGATTTAGCAGCTCTAATCTTTTTCTGACAAATGTTCCTAGCCTAAAAGATATATGAACTTTCCAGGATTATAAATTTTGCTAGGTCTTTTATGTAAGAAAGTGAAATTTTATTTTTTTTATTTTTTAATTTTTTTTTTTTAGAGAGGAGAGAGAGAGAGAGAGAATTTTTAATATTTATTTTTTAGTTCTCGGCGGACACAACATCTTTGTTGGTATGTGGTGCTGAGGATCGAACCCGGGCCGCACGCATGCCAGGCGAGCACGCTACCGCTTGAGCCACATCCCCAGTCCAGAAAGTGAAATTTTAAGAAAAGAATAGATTTGTCTAGCTCTTCCATGTGGGTGATGTAGAACAGTTGGAGATGGGAGAGACTAATGGGAGCATGGTAATGGATTTATGGCAGGTCCTCCTCTGTGGGCCTCTCATAGTGTACCCATGCCAGAGTAAACTGCAGCCTTGAACCATTGCCCGGCTTCCTTGTCCGTGGGCTGTGAGCACTGAAGAAGGTTGCACAGTTTGTAACAAAAGCATGTAAACTAAATTCTGTTTTCAGGCTGTAGTCAAAAATTGTACTGTTGTTTTTTTCTTTCTGATACTGAGGAATGAACCTAGGAACACTGCCACTGAGCTACATCCCCAGCCTTTTGTTTATATTTTGAGACAAGTTCTCCCATAGTTGCCCAGGCTGGCCTCAAACTTGGATGCTTTAGGTTTACTCTACAGTGCCAGGTTCCTTTTTATATTCAGAAAGATCTGTGGTTCTGGGACTGGGGTAGCTCAGTGGTGGAGTGCTTGCCTAGCATGCGTGAGGCACTGCGTTCGAGTCTCAGCACTGCATTCGAGTCTCAGCACTGCATAAAAATAAATAAAAAATTATGTCCATGTACAACGAAAATAAATAAATAAATAAATATGAGATTTGTCGTCCTTGAGTTTGAGTTGAAACCCTTTTATAATTGTGAAGCAACATGGCACAGTAGTTAAGAGCTGGAGGTTTAGAGTTAGGTTGCCAGGGTACATCATGCTTTCCCCTTTTAAGCTGTTATATCTTGGGATATAACTTGAACTATCAAGAAAATGGTCATAAGGATAAAATCTCTGAGTGGTAATGATTAACTAAGATGATCCAAACAGTCTATAAATGTTAGCTGCTTGTTATTGATTGTGTGAATTTTCCTTTTAGAAATGCTATTTATCTCTAATGTATACTGTGTTTTGATCACTCTTTATTCTTTTTTTGGAATAACTACTTAAAACATTAGTCAAGGGGCTGGGGTTGTGGCTCAGCGGTAGAGCATTCGCCTAGCATGTGCAAGGCCCTGGGTTCGATCCTCAGCACCACGTAAAAATAAATAAATAAAAGTATGGCATCCAACTACAACTAAAAAAATAAATATTAAAAAAAATAGTCAAGGGGCTGGGGATGTGGCTCAAGCGGTAGCGCGCTCGCCTAGCTTGCGTGCAGCCCGGGTTCGATCCTCAGCAGCACCACATACCAACAAAGATGTTGTGTCCGCCGAGAACTAAACTAAGAAAAAATAAATAAATGTTAAAATTCTCTCTCTCTGTCCCCCTCTCTCTCTCACTCTCTCTTTAAAAAAAAAAAAAAATAGTCAAACTTGCTCTTTTTTAGTTTTAGGTGGACACAATACCTTTATTTAGTGGGGGTTTTTTTTTTTTTTTTATGCTATGCTGGGAATTGAACACGTGCTACGGTCTACCACAAGAGCCCCAGCCTTCTTTTTTGCTTTTTTTAAAGCAGGGATTGAACACAGGGTCAGTTAACCACTGAGCCACAGCCACAGTCCTTTTTTGTATTTCATTTATAGATGAGTCTCATGGAGTTGCTTAGGGCTTCACTAAATTGCTGAGGCTGGCTTTGAACTCATAATCTTCCTGCCTCAGCCTTCCTGAGCTGCTGGGATTACAGGCATGCATCATCATGCCAGATTTAGTACCAGGGATTGAACCCAGGGTCATTTAACCACTGAGCCACATCCCCAGCCCTTTTTATATTTTGAGACAGGATTTTGCCAAGTTGCTTAGGGCCTTGCTAAGTTATACTGGCTAGCTTTGAACTCCTCAGCTTTCGGAGCAGCTAGGGTTATAGACATGTGCTATTGAACGTAGCTTAAACTTGCTCTTGTTATAGCAACTTAATAATAACCATGGTAGTACTAAATGAAGTTGTCTCTGCCACACGCATTAGCTGCATGTATGGTTCAATCTGAGGAAAGGGCTTTAAATAAGAGAAAGTTCCTGCTTCATGACTTCAGAAGTAAGTGGCTAAAGTTGCTATTGTTTTTTAATGGTTATGTTTATTCCTAATACCTCAGAGATACACAATGAAAATTCAAAGAACTGTATATAGATTGTTATTTTCATGTCCCTAGGATGATGGTGGGAGGCTGGGTGAAACTGTTAAATTATATAGGAAGCAGATAAAACTGCATGTGATACATGAAGTATATTCTAATAAGTATTTACTTATTCATTAGTTGAGCAGTGTTACATTGTTTTTCCTCCTTGGTTTGTTTTGGTCCCAGAGTCCGATGAGTGGTCCTTTTATTCCTGCTGCTCCTGTCAAAACTGCCTTGCCTGCTGGCCCCCAGCCCCAGCCCCAGCCCCAGCCCCCACTCCCAACTCAACCCCAGGCACAGAAGAGACGATTCACAGAGGAGCTACCAGATGAACGGGAATCTGGACTTCTTGGATATCAGGTTAAATAAAATACCTTGTTTTCCTTTCCTCATCTTATTCTCCTACTATATTCTCCCTTTAAAGAAAGAAATAAATTTACATCTATATTGACTGTCCTTCTAGTATCGGGATTTATGCTTTCTGGAATCCATTTAGTTTAGGATTTTATTCTTGAGGAATTAATTTAAGCAAGTGTGATTTCCTTTGGGTGGGTTTTGCCTTTGGGTTCATTGTGATAAGAAAATACACAACTCTTGGGCTGGGGTGGTGGCTCAGTGGTAGTATGCTCGCCTAGCATGCATGAGGCACTGGGTTCGATCCTCAGCACCACATAAGATATTGTGTAAACCTAAAACTAAAATATTTTTAAAAAAGAAAAGAAAATACACAACTCTCCACCTGGAGAGAAGTTTACCATGAATAACTTCTAGAAAGAGTTGTATAGAACTCTGTTTTCTCTTACTCATACAAGACTCTTGAAAGCCTGTGATAGTTCTTACTTTGCAGCATATCTCACCAAAAGCTATCCATATACCAATATGTCTAAACCTTGGCTTTCAATTTGTTTTTTTTTTTTTTTTACCCCTTTAAATTAAGGGGGGGTGTGTCCCATACTCCCCCTACACACACCTATTGGAAATGGAGTGATTTATACACATAATTACAAACATAATCATTCATAAAGTTAAAGATTAAGGGTTGGGGCTGAAGCTCAGTGGCAAAACATTTGCCTAGCGTGTGTGAGACCCTGGGTTTGATCTGTAGCACCACAGAAAGAAATAATTTTTTTAAAAAGTACATGGTTTTGGTACAGTTTTAACAGAAGCATCTATACATCTTACCAGAATCCTTCAATCATTGTTTTTTAGTTTTTAATTGTAGTTGGACAAATACCTTTATTTTTTATTTATTTTTATGTGGTGCTAAGGATTAAACCCAAGGCTTTGAATGTGCTAGGTAAGTGCTCTACTGCTGAGCCACAAACCCAGCTCGTCATTCTTTATAAGACAGCAAATTTTTTACAGTTTTGTAGAAACCAGTTGAATTATGGGTGGTTGGTTCAAAACGAAGCATGAATTGTAGTATCTTTAAATCCTAGAAATCCCTACTTGGCTACAGTTATCTTCCAAATCCGGAGTATATAGTACAGTTTAATTTATTTCAATTTATCAGAAAGATGAGGCACTTGACAGTTACATTAAGGAGCTAAAGTCATTACAGCAGTTGTAGGTTTGCTAATGCCACTGTATTTTTCTGCTCATAGCATGGACCCATTCATATGACTAATTTAGGTACAGGCTTCTCCAGTCAGAATGAAATTGAAGGCGCAGGATCGAAGCCAGCAAGTTCCTCAGGCAAAGAGCGAGAGAGGGACAGGTAAGTTAGTTTGATCAATTATACAAATACATTTAGTTGTCATTCTTATGCACCATTTTGTGTAAGTAATGGTTATTGCTATGAGCTGCAGTGTACTAAAGCTTGTACTAAAGCTCACATGAATCAAACTCTTCTTTGTTGTAATTGATGCAGTAATGGAAAATATTGCGATATATCTTTTACTGTTTAGAAGCAGATAAGTTAAAAATTGCATTCAAACGGATTTTCATTTTTTTAACAGGCAGTTGATGCCTCCACCAGCCTTTCCAGTGACTGGAATAAAAACTGAGTCTGATGAAAGGAATGGATCTGGGACCTTAACAGGGAGCCATGGTGAGTAAGGTGGAGCTGGGGGAACAGGGGACTAAGTAGGACTGGACTCAAGCTATAAGTTTTCCTAACCTGATATTCATTCAGGTGTTTAATCCACCCTCTATAATCTACTGTCTAATGAGAATACTTTTTTTTTTTTAATAAGGACAGCGTATAGTTACAGCCTTTTATTTTCAACCGACGTGTGTCTAGAAAAGAATCAGTCAACTTATTTTATATGTAGCATCAGTGACATTAAAACCCTAGGAAATACTAATAATTGGTAGGTCATTTCAAAATTCTATTGCTAATGTCGTCTCAATACCTGGAGGTGCTCTCATACAGATTTAATAGATTTTATTTTCCTTTAAAAGATCAGTTTCCTTTGTATTGGGAACTGAAGCACATCTCCCTGGCAGCCTGTGGCTGCCACAACATTCCCAAACTCTAAATCCATAGTGGTGCATGGGGTCATTTTGGTTCTTTGTCTGTAGTCATAATAAAAATGAACAGAAGAAAATACATATTTTTCTTTTCTTAACTTCCTTTCTTTTAACTCTAAAAGGTGAATATCATCCCCCCAAAGACTCATTTGCTAACTTTCCTTTTTTTCTTTTTTCTTTTTTTTTTTTTTTTGTGTGTTTCTTTTTCTTTCTCTGTTTTCTTACATGGTTCTGGTGGATTCACATTTGCTGATGCTGATGCTGTTTTTCGTGTGATCTTCAACGTTTTTGGGTGACCATTGACCTTGTGACCTCAAAATGGTGTCCAACTAACCACTTAAAATTAACGTCTTTTTTTTATTAACGAATTTATGGTATTATCTTTTTTTTTTTTTTTCCCTTGGTGGGGAATGGGGTTGGGGTTGTTTTCTCTATTCTAGATTATCCAGCAAAAAAAATGAAAACTACAGAGAAGGGATTTGGCTTGGTGGCTTATGCTGCAGATTCATCTGATGAAGAGGAGGAACATGGAGGTCATAAAAATGCAAGTAGTTTTCCACAGGGCTGGAGTTTGGGATATCAATACCCTTCATCACAACCACGAGCTAAACAACAGATGCCATTCTGGATGGCCCCATAGGAAACAGTGGAACAGTTTTGACCCTCGATGACTCTTCTTAGCAAT